TTGAAGGGAGATGCATTTGTTTCTGATCGAGTACAGGGATTGGCAACAACAAGAGTGATCGATTTGAGGAAAAACTCTCACGAAGACATACTGTGAAACTTGGAATTATGCTACATGGAATATAGGAGAATAGAAAGAGATTTAAAAACGGCACACAACATGCTAAGCACACTGAGACACTCCAACACAAACACCCAACTAGAACCTCACCATTTCATCTCTCGAGGCAATTTCACAGTAATTGTGCATTGAAGAACATAAATTGAGGTATAATTCCACTTTTTCTTATTAAAAGTTTCTACTCTCTATGACGCTCCTACAAACAAAGTAATCGCAGTCTGCTTAGTGAACAGCTCCAAGACAAGACTTGACATACACTTCGCCATTAATTACGATCTCCCGTATGGACTACCAATACCGGATGCATGTCTCGTAATTCATCTATCACCTTTATTTTTATATACCATCAGTTTACTGTTGTCTGTTTTCTTATCACCGCATACCTATCACTATATTATTCCCGTCGATTCATTTCGGTTGCATTAAGACATAACTTATTTAATCGTCCTCTTTTAGTTCATGTGTACTTTTGTTTATGCTTGATTGATTTTCCCGTCAGAACCTATAAACCTCCTATCTAGTAATTTAATGGTTGTTGATTCTGGAAACTCTACTGTTCTGAAACAAATACACTCATCCAGATGATAAGATATACAAACCCACAAATAACAACTAGAGAGAATCAAACTAGAACAGTTGACTAGAGGACCACCACGCACTGGAGATTACCCAAAACCCGGAACTGCATTGAAGCAACGAAAAGTAAGCACAGATAAAGTAACCGGTTTATACAAGCTCATCAGAAAGATAATGGAGATTTAAATGAACAGTGGCGTATTTCCTCGTTGGGTAACTTTTATTATTTTGGTCGTTTATTACGTATCAAGACTACTGTTTGCACTTTAATTGAATGACTTCAGTTAAAGTATCCGATAAGAGTATCGTTTCTGTTTCTAAAGTATTTTATCGTCGGTACTTCTGAGTACTTTGTTTCTACTGTATTTTTCAGTACTTTTGTTTCTAACAATTTAGTTTTCCACTTTTTCGGTCAAAGAACACTTTCGTCTCTGGGTACTATTGTATCTAGTTTCTTTTTGAAAACTTCTGTTCGATGACTGGACAGTACAACAAAAAAAATTGCTAACGTCACTGCTGTCGATATCCCGTTGAAAGCGGCATGCAGTGAGGCGAGTGCAAAAGCTGGTACCACGAAGGTTGCACGAATTTGACGCCTGAGGCTTTCAAACGGTTTTGTCAGCAGTGCTGCTCGGATTTTTTGTCCGTAAGGACATGCCTCTCGCAGACCGTGTTAAAAGACGAGAAGCCGAAAAAGAACCATAACTTAGGTTATACGCTGGCAAAAAGCATCTGAAGCATGGAAATTTACGGGTTGTGATGCTTCGGCAGAGAATGATGTTGAGGCCTGTATGGGTGAAGCACAAAGCCATTTAAATAGGTTTCATCTCCGTTAAAATGACGCCTGCAGAACGGTCGTTAAGCGGTTGGAATCGGGTGTACAGATTGACTCTACCAAGCCAGATATAATCACAGTCACAGAAACTTGACTGACACAGCCCATGGATAGTACAGAACTTTGTAACGACCGAACTGCCATTATTCGGTTTGAACGCAAGACTGACGAACCAAAGTGTACTCGAATAGGCCAGACTACGCTCTTCTGTATAGCTTACTAAGCGTTTTTGAGATACACGTATAAAATTATATCAAAACACAAACTATGTGCTCAATTTATACGGTTCTAATTTAAAATCAGAACAAATTATATCAGAAATACGAAATATCTCAAACGGTACAGCCTGTGATATACAGTCAAAAGTTTCTCTAACGCAAAGCAGCGCGCTAAGCAATAAAAAACAGTTAATACCACAAGGTTCGATACCTGAGAATCAATGAAAATATTCCCAACAAAATGGGATCAAATATCTATCTGTAGGGATCCCAGCAATCCTCCCAAGCAGACAGTCAAAAGGTCAACAGCCACACAGTGAACCGCACTGTGACTTTGAGCTTAGTCAAACACGACCCTACTGTCAATAGTCCGCAACATGCAATAGAAAATTAGGTGAAAAAAGATTAGTCTATTCAAAATCACTCAATAAAAGCTCAGACGAGAAAGACCGAAGAACAAAAGGTGTGGTTAAACGAGATCTGAACAAAGGTTAAAATACACGACAGGGAAAAAACAGATAAATAACAGTAACGTCCGACAAAAAGGCTGCGGAGGGATTTTCATCGTTCTCTTTCCGTTACAACTTCGTTTTGAGGGCTGTACGTCGGTAAGAGCCGACAGAATCCAGAAGCGTAGAGGAGGGGTAGTAGCTCTATTAATTATTAATGCTATCCCATTTGTCATTATCGACAGTGTATCCCATGATAGTGGGACGTGTGAACAAGTTAGCTGCCGCTTGAAATGCAAGGCACACGAGCTACTGGTTGGTTTGGTCTACTGTAGTCCAAGGTGTGATGTAAATGAGGTCTTGCCAAGCAGTCTCAATACTTGGTCACACGGTTGTCGTTGTCTAGTCCCAGGAGACTCTAATGAACCCACGTTAGACAAAAAAGTCTGAGAACTGAATTGTCAAAAAATTCCTTTGAGCAGTAACTAGTTGATGTGGTTATCACATGTGCCCAAGTGTACAATCCGGACACTGAGTCATCCTTACTAGATCTTATATCGACCCATTATGTGGATGACGTTACGAACCTCGATTACATGCCACCCCTAAGTAAAAGTGCACATGCAGTTCTAACCTTTAACTTCCATACACTTGTCAAAAACGAGCGCGCGTCAGCTCGATCCAGGCCTAACGTCTGGAAAGCAAATATACAACACATTATACACTCAGTATCGTCAATAGATTGGACAATAGAGCCAGAGCCCCTATTGAAACAGTTTGGGATGCATTTCTAAATTTATACTTCAAAGCTACTGCACCCACATTCCTTGGGCTACACCAAAGGGGCCGAGAGACTCTCCGCCATGGTCCAGTAGGGAGGTTCACACCCTTCTCCGTAAGTGGAGAAAAATGTGGGATAGATTCAGATTACTGGGGACTGACAAGACGAAATCTCAATATCGAGAAGCTCCGACCCTCCGTAAGCTTAGAAGATTGTACGAGGAGAAAATTGTTAAAGAATCTATGGAATGTTCTAAACGCCTGTATTCACATATAAACCAAAGGACAAAAGGAAGAGTATATATTCCAGCATTATGGTGAGACAGTAATACCTCATCATTAGTAGAGGACGACTTTGATGAAGCTCAAGTATTCTCAGACTACTTTAGCAATGTATGTACCGTACAAATGCCCTTCCCGTAAGTCCATACGAATCCCCCCACACACACAATGGATAACGCGACCATTAAAGAACTCGATGTCTTGACAAATGCAAACCCACGGGATCCGATGAACTGCATCCTAGGTCACTAAAGAATTAGCTAACTTCATTGCGATCCCTTTAAGTAAATGCTTTGATCTATCCGCAACCCAGGGTCGTCTACCAAAAGAGTGTAAGAACGCCATAGTGAACCCTGTCTTCAAAACAGGTACAAAACATAAACCTGAGAATTACCAACCTGTTAACCTAACTAGCGTGGTTGTTAAAATTTTGAGAAAGATTATTCAGAGGGAGCTGTTTAAGTTTCTCGATGAAAACCGGATATTTTCGGAAAAACTATGGTTTTAGAATAGGTTGTTCCTGTCTCGCCAACTTATTAGTAGCTCGTGAAATTTTGTGAGCTCTTAAAGATCAAAAGTTACTTATAGACGTAGCCTACATTGACTTCAGCAAAGCTTCTGACATAATTCCTCACAACCGGCTGTTATACAAGCTGAGAAATGTCTGGGCTGGAGGCAATCTATTGATGTGGATAAAAGATTTCCTATTTGGGCGCCAACAAAGAGCACGGATTAAATCCAAGTGATCTAGTTGGGTAAATGTGCCTAGTGGAGTGCCGCAAGATAATGTTTTCGAGCCAGTGCTATTCCTCTTATATATAAGTGACCATTCTCATCTCCCATCATCATCGATCTTGCTATATGCTGATGATGTCAAAATATGGAGAGCGATAAGAAGTAATGGTGATAGCTTAGAACCTAAAAATGACCTGGAATCAATGACTACTGCACACCGCTATGCAACAGACGCCAAAGGTTTTAGAACTCTATGGTCAGTATGTAGGACTTTTAGTCATGTTGACGCTAAAACTTTTTTAACTTTTTATACAATGTTCGTAAGTTCTGACCTTGAGTATCACATATAAATGGCTAGCCCCTGCTTAAAAAATGACAATGAGTTTTTTTCAAAAAGTTCAGAGAACATCAACTAAGCTCCGGCATGGTGCTCAACTGGCTAAGCTAAACCCATCCCCGTCGTCATACTAAAGAACTAGAGGGGACTTGAATACATTTTTTAAATTACTTAGTGATAAATTAGCACCTGATATGCTCTCATTTTTCTTGTCTTCTAAAACAGAATTTATGAGGGCACTCAAAAAATTTCACAAGACCAGAACAAATTACTTATCAACTGGCTGGTGACTTTCCCATCGAATCATCAGCAAGTGAAATTCATTATCTCAGCATGTGATTGAGGCTCCATCCGTCGACTCTTTCAAAAGAAAGTTGGATCAACAGGGAGTTCATCATCGCCAGGACTAACACAGGTCATCAAGCCTCCTGCCCTTTCTTAACTAAAGCTGAAGCTATAAGTCAATTTTATGTAAAGGACCTTGCGTTGTAGGTTTGGTTCTGCAGTGTCGTGGTTAGTTTGGTATAACAGTATCAGTTGAATAATTGACAGTTTTAATCATTTTGTTACTAAGACAACTAGCGCCTGAACGTGTTTAAAAATGAACAATAAGAGGGTTGTGCATAAAAAGCAGCTCGCTATTAAGAAGGTTATTATCCACTGTTCCTATGATGTTTCAAATAAAGGAAGCAAAAGAAAAGCAATTCTTCCTGACTGATGATAATGGAAACATCATACCCGGAACATATAGAACACCGGTCGGAGGTTTGAGGCTTCCTATTTTATAGTACATCTGTTTTCAGAAGTTAAAATTAAAAAGATTGAAGCATCAGGAAATTGCGATGTCGTGTCACTCGCGCGCTCAATGAACGACAATTTCGCGTCAAGAACCAAAGAGTTGTTTTCTCCAGAGGTGGAAGCTGTGAAAGAAGCTATCAAAACAGGTCCTTATATATATATATATATATATATATATATATATATATATATATAATCTACTCAATAATATCATAGTAAAATACAACATATTTTTAGCAAGATGAGAAGACTTGTTGGCAGCTTCAAATTTTGCAGTTTTAAGTTCATGACCTATAATATCTTGAAATCGATAAGTTTTAAGAGAGTCAGTTCAGGACTTTTCTAGGTGACTGACTCCACCATATTAGTATACGACTATCAACCTCTATGATAATTTGAGTGATTGTGAAACTAAATAGTACATAAATGAAGTGCTTAACTATATGAAGTAGAGTGAAGTATGATGGAGGTTTAGAATATAGTTAACATACTTGAAGTCTACGCTGAAATAACATATCACATATCATAATATTTCTTTGACATTATTGGTTTTGTTAACTGTTCTCAATGATCACAGATTTCAACCGCTTATATATATATATATATATATATATATATTACTTGTCTTTCATCTGTATCAATGTAAGATGAGTGATTATGTTTGAGCTAGACAACTTGATATTGAAGTGTTTACTAGGGGGGGAAATACTATTTCACTTCATAGACCGTATAAATTTTGAGATCAGCATTAACAGTATGCATCAAACTTCAGTTATATAGTTTAGTTAACATCAAAGACCAAACAGCGAGTAATACCAATTACTCTATAGCGATTAAATATTGGTTTCACCTGTGTACACGCCTAAAGTCTGGACTTTTAATCCATCTAATATGTAAAATAATTAATCTAGTTAACGCTTGAGTAACTACCTTTCACAGATTTTATACGTTTCTTTTTAAAACTTAACAAACTTTAAGGTATATATGTTGCATGGAGACCAATAGATAAACCTTGGAACCAACAAGATTGTCAACGCGTGTGTTCTATTTCTCGTTGTTTTTGCGGACACTCTTTAAATCAACATGAAGCGCTTTCTGTGAGCAAAGCATTTCCAAAGTGCAATCAGGTTGGCGTCTATTATTTTAATTAATTATTTTTAGATTTGTTTTGTGCATGAATAACGTTCTGTAAGACTTTTTCACCTGTTACATAACTTTTAAAGCACAATAATTGTTAACTAACCATTAAATCAGGTGAAACATAAAGTTACACGATTGGTAGACGTCTGAATTTTAGTTACTATATTTTACAGATTTATGTTTCTTACACAAATGGGTCATGAAGACGTACAGAACCAGGTGAAATTCGAGACGAAGAAAATGTGAACTGAGATAATGAGTGGATTTATATGTAGTACTGTGATTAATCTTAAATTATATCTCTTTGTGTTCTAATAAAAACGTAGGGCGCTGAACATTCTGATCGATGTTTACGTTTAAGCCCACAGTAAGACTCAACTTTAATTGCTAAACTGGGTTGTTACACTCACTAATTATCTCCCAAAAAGGGAACGTCAGTCAATGAGCCTCTCATTAACGTTCATGCATCTGACAAAATACAACCCATTGAGGTTGAAAGGTGCAATATGAAACAAAAAAGACCTAGAAACCAAGTGATATTATGGCAATTTGTACCTAACTACATCAAAAAATCACCAGATATCAAGTATCAACTCATATCTTTCTGTATTAAATTGAATTTCTGTCAGTCATAATATCTACGAGATTAGTCACTGGATTCACCATATTAAAGATATCGGCCACAAGGAATGTACTTGTTGAAATCTACATGTTGAAAATATGAGCTAAAACGGATATATCTAATAGTTTCCAAATGTTTTATCAGTTATCTCAGTGCCAAATTTTAAAGGTTAAATTCGGTAACACTTTAGAGGATTATATATCAATTTTTCACACTCAGCAAGTCAACTACATCATTTAGTAAACAAAAATAACACAAAGAAGTTTCTTTATGATAACAAGCAGAAGTGTAGATCTGTAGACGCTTGTTGAACTTCACTCATTTTTCAATATAAACAATGTTCTCAGTGTGCTAGGATTTGGCCACATAGAGAAATCATTTATCTACTTTTCGTGATGTTTAAGAATTTGACTGTGAGCTGAACATTCAAAATCTGACTTGCGATTTGCGGGCATTTGTTTTTTTCCGATTTTCAATTATTAATATTAGTAAGCACTTCCATATCATGGTCTCTTACACTAGAGCGTTTATACATAGGTACCTCAATTTTATATTTGTATTGATATCAATACTCGGCCAAGGAATTTTGCTCTCATCATCCGGTATGACGATCAGATGCTGTCATTAGTTTATTCTTCTGAGTAAATATTGTTATTTAATAAATATTATTGCCCTATGCAATCTAAATTATCACAGGTCTATTTTAACAATTCAACCAAGTGATTTACTAAGTAAGAATTGATTGTGACACATTGATTTAAGTATTTTCATCTAAAGAGAGAAAGGATGATCTTTCCCATAACTTGGCTTGTTTATATTATTAAGTTTACGTTCTCATTTTTTTCTAGACTGGATGCTCATGCAAACGGTTCAAGTTTGTTCCCAGTAGACCAGAAGAAGTTGGTGAATTTTGGTTAACTAGACGCAGTGATTTTGATCGTAATTTGTACCGTGTAAAATGCAAGTGTAAGCACACTCATGAAGAACATGTGGCTGATCTAGTTCCTTATCGATGTAAAGTTAAAAGATGCAACTGTTCAGGATTTTCATCAGCTTTCCTTTGCGCTGCATGTGACAAGCACTGGCATGAGCATCAAACAGTTTTTGAAACTGAAACGGAACGTAAAGCTGAAGGACGTCCAGTTGGTAAGTTTAGATAAGTGGTTAGTGTTACTAAATGTTATTTTATGATATGTTTGTGTTCCTGACTACGTTGTAAGGGAGCTGTATTATGGATATACTAAACCTAACTAGATATTGATTCCTCTGTTAGTTTTCAAAAGTCTTAACTCTTTTCTCAAGTGTCTGTTTTTCAATAAAGAATGTGGTACTTTACCAATATATTTATGTCACCAAGTTCATCAGATAAACGATAGCTAACTTGTTTAAATCGGTGTACTCAATTTTAATGTGATGTGAATAGGTATAGAGTGGATAAATCATATACAAAATATTAACATATAAATACTAAGTAATGTTTCAGATGAAGTGTAGAAATTTTTTATATCTTACCAATTATCTGTAACATTACTTTGGATAACGTAAAAGTATTATATTCTGCAGTCATTAGAGTCTACTACTACTACTACTACTACTGATTCAAATACTTTTACACAATTTCACCTAGCTAACTGAATCAAAAATAAGTCCACAACTCATTTATAAATTTATACATGTCTGCTTCAGAAAATTAGGCCAGGTTTATAACCGGTAGCGTAAATATATTTCTTAAGAAATTTAAGTTAAGTCGTGACCAATGGCATGTGTCCTTCAGCATCTCTTATTTACCACTTAACTTATGTCTGATTAGGTTGATGTACCATCTATAACCTATGCAAAATAAGTCTGGATATTTGGATTAAGCCTTGTAAACCAAGGTGAGACTACAGGAAGTTATCTTCAGATCTATATTCCTACAAAATTATCGATTTGGCGTCGTATAGACTCAGATTGTTACTGCTTTTGATTACTATCTATAAAGATAGTATTTAAGAATATAATTTATTTAACCGAACAATTTATTATTGTTTGATTTGCAAAATAAAGCTAGCATCATATCGATGACAATTTTGTGACCAAATAATATTCAGAATTCAATCTCAAACAAATTTCTTTCATGATCTAAATATTTTAATGGTGACATTTTTGATTACGACGCTATTATATATTCTGCCACTTAGTATTCCTCAGATACAATCCTTCTATCGACTGGTCCCAACTTGGTGTACAAATCGGGACTGAACAAAAAATTATATTCTGAAAATCCGGACAGAAAAAAACCGTGTAGTAAGGACGTTAACTGAGGCGTAAAGTTTGAAGAGAAATATTCCACATTCTTCTCAATTTATTCACTAGCTTTAATTATTTAAAAATGAACCAGTTAGAGTGCTCCTACTTGATCTTGTCTAAAGTACATATTAGTCAAGACCATCGTTTAGCTAACCGACACAAAGTAATGTGGGTTTTTGGCTTTTAAAGGATGACTTTGTGCAAAGTTTTAGATTCGCATTTTTTGGTGAGCATCATCACAAAAGATAGTAAAGTTTAACTCCACACATTTAACAAAGTCTACCATCACTTTTGCTTTATCAGTAGCCTTTGAACAACCTGTAAATAATTTCCTTAATATCTAAATTCATTTAATGAAATATACGAGAAAATTTGTACGATTGAAGCTCTACTAAATGCATTGCATGGCATAAAATAAATATGTAAAGACATCACCATAATCATGTAAAACAACCATAAAGTTGCTTAATTAACCAGTTCAAATTTAGAAAAGAACTATGCATAATTTCTTTTTCGCTTATTGTTAATATTGATAATAAAATAGATTGCAAAATGATCGCCTAGACCTGAATTATGTCTAAAAGGTTTTAAATTATGGAAATGTACTTTTTTTATGACAACTGGGTAAACGTAGTGGTAGTTAATCTGGTAACAAAATAATACAATGATCCTTTGTAGCATGGGATAATGCCAAAAACTTAACAATCCATAGTTTTCTTTTAATCAGCTTTGAATGCGTAGTGTTGACTATCAAGACGTCATAAATAAAAAGTAAGAAAAAAGACATATAAGGCACTTTTAGGATGATCACAACAATTTGATATTGCTTTTTAGTATTTCAGACTTAAGTCTCATTGCTATTTCTGGATGAGCGAGGTAATGGGATTTATAGAACAGTTGAAGATTCTCCTCTTGGAGAGGTTAGGATCTCAAATGTCCATGTATGGTCTGAAGTAAAGAGGATATGTCTTTTCAGAAACACATCTATACAGTTATGAATTTATGGTTTGTATCATTAGATTCTCTTCATTAACTTTACGTACTTGAGCTACCTACTGCAAAGAAAGTATATTACAGGGGATGTAATGGACTCGATTCGGATTTATGAATACATAGAATTTAGATAAGTATGGTATAGATCAAAATTAGTATCACACAGAAAAAGATATATGAACCTATCTTCATCCAGTACCTACCATAAAAATCCATCTTTTAACATTTCCACTTGCTTTCCATGTCGAAACTTTAGATTAGAGGTTCAAAGATGATTCCAGAAGCAGGAATGTATTTGTTTTTTTTTTAAATTTTGGGCCTGAGCTTATTTCTATGCTCCTTAATTCCTCTATTTTATCCCTATATTTCGATCCATATTTTCTATGTTTTAGCAATTTCAATCTCTGTTTTGACGTAGTTTCAGAAATTAGATTAGCAAATTTTTGCACCAGGTCCTAAGTTACTTATAGCTGATTGGTCAATAGATTGATTAATTCATGGTCGTACACTGGTCTCTTAAAAAAATCACTCCAGCTCTGTCTCTAGAAAATTTCCTGTATATGTTTGAAGAATTTTTATTAATGTTGATAACTTTCAGACAATATGTATTTTTAAACTGTTACTATAAATGGCATATAGTACGAAATTCGTTACTATTCATGAGTTTCAACTGAATTTGCATATCTCTCACCGTTGATATTCCCACTGAAACTCGAATTCAGGATCTGTAGTCACAAATGCCTACGCGTTAACCCGTAAGCTGATATGTATTATAATATAGGCTTATAAGGAATTATAGCTAAAATTAATATTCAGGTATTTGTTTCGAATGCATATATTTCAACACAGATCGATCAAATACAGTCCTAAATATAAATTACTAACACTTACAATGTACAAATATTTTAAATATATTTTTGGTTTCATGAAGACAATCGAGTCATTAAGTTTTATAATATATTATACTTTTTCTAATAGGTGAAGGATGGATTCCATTTGCTGAACTACCAGAATTAGCTAAAATTGCACTGACTGGTGTTGATAATCCAGATATTCAAACATTAACTGATGCTTTGCCAGTAAGTTCTCGTCAAACTCTTCTAGATAAACAAACTTTACCTGCTATCGCTGGACCAAAAGATTAAAAATGGCAGCATTAATAATAGTGGCAATAATTTTAAAGTAAATTTTATTTGAATAAATTTCTCAATTATTTTTGTTGTTGTTGTTGTTGACAGAAATCTATATTTCTATACTACTTACTATCTTGATTTTCAGTAGCATTTGCAAATGAATATCTATACACATATATTTTATTTATTATGTGGTTTTAATAACCATCACTTTTATTTCCTCTTTATTGTGTTGTCCTCATTATTCTATCTTGAAAATTATTTGAATGGATTCACTTCCTTATCATGATTATTTGCCCATTAATAAGATACACAATTTTTAAAGTATATTTTCTGTTCATGATAGACTGAAACAAATTGTTAACTTATTTTAAAGAACATGATGAAATGAAAAATATCAACTGTTGTGAAATCTTTTAATATGAATGCCTAAATGTTGTATATGGTCATGGTTTACAGTCTATTAGAGCATAGCAGCTATCTAGCCCTCTTTCCTCTTTTTTTTTAATGGTTATTTAAGTAAAAGTTAATTTTCTGATAGAAAACTAGTTTCAAAGAGTATTTTGTTTGTTTTTTTGTGTGGCTTATTTTCATTTGTACTTTATCATGTACTTTTCTTTACAAAGATTCACTTTAATTTTTATGCTTCATAAATGGATTATTTCTTTTTTGAACTTTGTTCAAGCTGTGATTTCTTTTTTTTAAATTTTTTTTCTCTCCAGAATAAAAGATGATATAATTATTTATGTTTTTTTTTCAGAACATTTTAATTTACCCACCATAAAAATAAGATAAACTTAATGTTTTTATTATTGTCACGGATACAAGAGAAATACTCCCAATAACTTTAATATTCTGATTGTCATAGTTTCACTTTTTATTCAGACTATTATTGTTAACCACTGTCGTACTGTCGTACAACAACAACAACAACTAATAATAGTAATGATTTATCAGTTCTCTCTGTAACTTTGTAGTTTACAAGAACACAAGTGGAGACAATGGAATATATTTAATATGAAATTATAGAGCATCTCAATAAAATCTGAGAATAATTAATTTGCAAAATATCAATCCATCGTCTCAAATTTGACTGTTCCTTTGAAAATATCAGTCTATTGTTTTAGATTTCATTGTTCATGCATTTTCATACCAATTGCTTTTTGTTCTCGTTATTTCCTCATCGATCTTCAACTGAAATACATCCAATACCTGCCCATCGTTATATACTACTTATGTAAATATAAGTAACCCACACTACAACATGACATTAAATTTTATACTTTTTTTCAGCTTATTTATTATTCTTGTAATTTTTTCTACACTTAATGTTATTTTTATCTTTCTTTTTATTTGAACCATTAAAACGTGTACTAAGTTGAAAAGATAAGTGAAGTTTTCTTCAATACTTAACTTTATTTTGCTTAAAGTTTATGTCAGAGATGATTTATTCATCTATATTGATGCAGATATATTCCTCAATAGCCTTGTCAGAAAATGATACTAAAAAATCAAGATAGAAAGCAAAGTAATTATGTTTGTAAGGGTTTGGTATATTTCCGTTGTTGATGTTCAAGAATTTAATCTGTCAGTCTTTATTGGCATTTGTGCATCTTGAGCTGATTAATTTAATGTGAACATCAACATTGGGATGTAACGGGCATATATAGCTGATGAGTTGCAAATAGAATGAAACACAAGTTTAGGTTTTGATTGTTAGTCATGATCTAACTTAAACAAAATAATTGTGATGATTTTTACTTGGTTGTTAAATTTATTTGACAATATCTAGGCTAATTTGAATGACACGTTGATAACGTTCGAGTATAGGAATAGCAAATAAATATTTATTCAGCATAAATCCAAAACAGCAATGTTCTAAATATTACAAATGAATTCTAAATGGTCATAAAATACATCCTGCATATCACATATCCGCTTTTATGAATATAAATACAATCCGACCAGGAACTTTGCGGGATCCAAGATAACCTAAAGATTATCATAAAAGCTGACGAGTAGTCAAGCCAAAAAAAAGTGACTTAAAAAAATCTGCTTGCGTAGAAATCACCGTTACTAGTTAAAGGAATTTACGAACAGGGTTTCCACTACAAATCTACTAGACAAGATCGTTTATGAATTCACACATGAAAACTACTACTGAATAACACTAGTATGTGGAAATTCCGCTGTATAGAGACCTGAATATTTTTTTCTCGTAATCAGATCAAAATGACCTAACTAACAGATTGTTGTTTTATAAGTGGGTTAATCAGTAGTAATTGTTCACTTTAAACAAATAAAAAAGAAAGTGGATAACTAACATCAATATAAATCAACAATTTCGCTTTAAATACAATTTATTCGTTAACTTTTATGACGGAATCATTGAAAAGCCTCGATATGACAGCTTCGTAACTCTACAAATCCCATAATGTTTTTTTTCGAAATCGTAGTCCAAAATTTGGACGTGATTGTGCATAACTTTAGTTGTCTTTTAGACAACTGTGAGATAACGAGTGAGATTTGTAGTTCAGCAGGAGGATCTTGAAGATATTTTGTTCTCTGAGTTAAATAATTTAACTGCTGAAATTTATTTCTCTTTCTAGACAGCTTTATTGACACAAACTTAAAACGAGAAAGATTATTATGTAATTTTTGATATGGGGTTTTGGAGATTGTTGAATTTCACTGAAATCACGAACCTATATTAAACCACAATTGAAAACCTGGAAGAAATTGATATCCGTTTCGTCCTAGTATGAGGCTCCTCAGAAGTGCCCATCCCAAGTGCGAGATTACGAAAGTAATCTAGAAATAAAACGAAATCTCCACTAAAAAAATTATTCAGCTCACTAAATGCAACACCCATAATTCAGTAGAAATTTCTTCAAAAAACTAAAATGATGCCTACCGCAAATTAAACAATTTTCTCCTAAAATTGACATTTATTATTCACAGTAATTTTTATGCACGTACATCAACATTAAGTACAAAAAAGAGGAAAATGATAAGTTTAGTTCGAACAAAGGCATCCTCATAAAAATATTAAATGAAAATGGGAGCTAGCTTTGAGTTGACCGATTAAATACTGGTTAAATATTGTGCCAAAACATATTAGTTACTTATAAGTAGTATGAAATATTAGATATATATGGTATGGATTCCATTTCACCCTGATCAAACAAGTATTTTTGTCGTTTCAGAATTATTTACTATAATATTACGAAAAAGCAATACTGAATTACAATTATTATTTCTCGACTGTTTTTGTTAGCCTGGAGGATACATGGTGTCTGACAATCTCCATCATTGTAACATATATAATGTTTTTTTTTATTAATCTTATTATTATTACTAGTGACTGAATGCAAACCACTTCTTCAGAGTAAATAAATTACCGAATTAAATTAACACACGTTTAAATAGTACACAATCAAAAATAGTACTATTTGAACTTGTGTTAATTCAATTTGGTCATTTATTTACTCCGAAGAAGTGGTTTACATGAAGTCACGAAACGTCAGAAATACCATTTTTCTACTCATTGGAATATAACAAAAAAATTACATTTACTATTAACTTTCTACCCAATACTCAGTTTATTTGAAACTATCAAGCTCAACCTTTTAATTGATACCTATAAACTCATTTACGAAAAATATTGTTCGTAGCCACTATTAAAACACATTTTTACATTTGATTACCTTTAATTTTGTTGGTGGTGGTCGATAACTGTTCGGAAATGTCCTTAGAAGCCAGAAGACTGACCAGAACTAATTTTTATCACCGTGTTTGAATATTTCTGAGAAATTTTGTTGTATATAATCTTTGTCTGATTGGTCTGGTGCATCAGTTACTACTAAATTGGTATTTTTATCAAGGTCACTGGTGATGTTATCATTAAAATAACCTCAAGATTAAAGCTTTGTCCAGATATCCACTGTCTGATTCCGTTCAAGATTTTAGGGTTTACGATTCAACCCTGTGTCACTCAGCCTCACAGAGAAAAACGTCGCCATTGGGCTGCCCGGGCCGCGATCGACTTCCTGTAGGACCGAGATGTATTTAAAACCAGTTGATCATTGGTTAGTGATCATTGTGTGTGATTTGAAGCTGATTGACATGGGATCAAAACTCTAAGGGAGCATCAGCTCCCCGAAGAATTCGGGTACACCTTGGTGACGAGTTCCAAATAGCACGAAACCTAGGCTCAAGGTTTCTTATTGACTAATTCCAACAATCACCATACATCTCAATATAGTGCACGCGATGTTGAGTCACCTAGACTAGTGGTCACGACGCAACTCGATCTATAGGAATCGATCTGCACTAAGAACGACCTGACATACATGACATTGGTTACTACTCAGTGATCAATCAATTTCAACTTGTTGCTGTCCAGATATTGGCTAGGATGTTAACATATCTAGCGTTCATTATATATATCATATCAAAAAGCTTAATTGTGATTTCGTTATGCCTTACAATATATTGAAAAATCTTTCATAACTTTAGGAAAATAATAAATATTGTTGTGTTATTTGACTGGTTGAGTTAATTTTGTAGAAAGGAAATTATCTATAGAAAGAATTAAAGAAATGTAATATGAAATCTATGCTTTTTCTATAGGATATTCGCCCTAATAGTTTAAACATTCTTACTTTTAATCATTAGGTCATATTTTTCAGTCTTATTCATCTACGTTAGAGTTTTTGGTAGTCTTTTAGGACTAGTAACATTCATACTGAAAAATAAAGATTATAATCGAGTATACAAAATTGTAATTGATTTATGAGTTATATTAAAACGTGAACAAATGGCTTAGTGATTAAATTACTCGACTGTTATATTTACTTTATGTAGGACAACCAGTTACTTTTTGTAACCTTCATATTAAAAAGATCGATCAAATTCAAGTGGTTAAATTTGTACCTGCCGAATAAATTAATTTTATAACAGGTCACTAAAGCATTGTTCCTACTAGCGAAGATTATTGTTGTGCTAGATCA